CAGACTTACAGTTTTTAACAAGAAGTCGAAAATATCACTTTCTACCAAAAATATTCATCAAAATTAGAGAATTGAAGATATCATCACGAAATGAATAAATCTGAGAAAGGTCTACATGTAGTATCTATATATGTAATATCAAAGCAATTGAACTATTGGTTTTTAACAAGAAGTCGAAAATATCACTTTTTACCAAAAATTAGAACGACGACGACGGACAATCACTCATATGATAAGCTCCGCTCGACAAAGTCGACAGCGGAGCTAAAAAGGCAGCAAATGTCAGTTGCCCGTGCTATGAGAGCTGGCCACAGAACCAAAACAATCTGTCAGCCTTTGCCGCCCACAGCATCGATATGATTTTACATTGCATAGAAACACTAAATGCAGCTATCCCAGCCAGCAATCGAATCATCAATCTTCATGAGTGATGTAACTGGTATTTCCACCTATTTGCTTAGTGGTCTGTAAGTGAATGTTGTCAAGTTCGAGAGTGTGTTTCAATGTACAGCGACGTGATCATTTTGCTTATCATACATTACCCACAGATAGTAATTGTTGAGTGATAAAGTTATTATTGTTGCTACATTTTGGGCTTGAACATGTTCTATATTCACCCAAAACAACAACGAACCTGAAACAAAAGTAACCGTCCAATCTAAATGACCTGTGTCTATAAAAATCAAGTCTTATCTCCCTTTGTTTCCGATCGAGAGAAGGTCAGCGCCAATCTACCATGATTGTTTGCTTATCATCAATTCGCAAAGGTCAAAAACGTTTTCAAACGTGAATTTAACAACGAACATTTTTGAAACGAATCAATGTTCTGGTTATCTCTGGTTCGACTGCAGTCTTTGGACCCTAAAACGCAATTTAATGCACGTGAATTTCCCAACAAAGGTTTAAATGTTTTAGTTGTCTGTGGTGTGGCACTGGTGTGGAAAGATGTCGAATAAAATGGCGACAACCTTCAAACGCAATTGTTATGCTAATTTGATTTTCGGCATGTTAGTTGACAAAGAAATGAAAAATTTCTTGAATTTTCTCGGCGATAGCAAGGTGAATTTGAACCAAAATGTTATCGGCAAGACTCAGAATGCGACAGTGACAGCCACTGAAACGTAATTGAAGGGAAATGAACAAAAAAGCAAACAAGCAGCCTCTCGGCTGAGATAGCTCCGCTGTTAGCAATGCACATTTCAATTAAAGAACAGAAGATATCATTAGAAAATGAACAATACGTATAGTATCAATGCAATGGGACTTGCTGTTTTCAACAAGAATTCAAAAATATCATTTTTTACCATAAATGATTGTGGTTTTTAACAAGAAGAAAATATCACTTTTTACCAAAAATGACAAAAATATTCACCAAAATTAGATAATTAAAGATATCATTACAAAATGAACAAATCTGAGAGAGGTCCACATGTAGTACCTATATATGTAATAATATCAAAGCAATCGGACTTGTCGTTTTTAACAAGAAGTCGAAAATATCACTTTTTACCAAAAATGACAAAAATATTCACCAAAATTAGAGAATTGACGATATCATTACAAAATGAACAAATTTGAGAGTGGTCCACATGTAGTACCTATATATGTAATATCAAAGCAATTGGACTTGTGGTTTTTAACAAGAAGTCGAAAATATCACTTTTTACCAAAAATGACAAAAATATTCACCAAAATTAGAGAATTAAAGATATCATCACGAAATGAACAAAACTGAGAGAGGTCCACATGTAGTACCAATATATATAATATCAAAGCAATTAGACTTGCGGTTTTAAACAAGAAGTCGAAAATATCACTTTTTACCAAAAATGACAAAAATATTCACCAAAATTAGAGAATTGAAGATATCATAATGAAATGAACAAATCTGAGAGAGGTCTACCCAATGTACATATACACGAAGTATCAAAGCATTCAGGCTTGTAGTTTTCAAGTAGAAGTCAAAAAAGTAAAACATTGACACGGACGACGACGGACGACACCGGACAATCACTCATATGATAAGCTCCGCTCGACAAAGTCGACAGCGGAGCTAATAAAAGCACATGCAATTTTAAAATAGGAAAAACAAGTTATGACAGAGCTCGTTGGTTCAATAGTAAATAAAACTGAATTGAATCAGAACATGAAACAAATGACACGTTATATAATGTACCGGTAGTTGTAAAGGATGATTGCATGGCTTAATAAATAGCATTTACAATCCATTATTTTGAATCCAATCTGAAAAAACATTATGGTCTTGCTATATATTATACATGTTCAATGTATTACCAAAATGAATAATAGCTGTCCATGTATAACAGATCTGGGTTCAGAATAACAAAAATGCTTGATTTTGATGCATTTTAATAATAAAAGTGGTCACCATTCAGCAAAATCTTAAACTTGATGGTCAAACAAATATAATGCATATACTGGAAGTGCAATTAATTTGAAATTCAGAATTATAAATTGCACATATTCCGTTTGTAAATACTGAACTTACCTGTACTGTGTAACCATTATGAGTAGATGCTCGTTTTTTCCTATCAAGTACAAGAGGATTAATATAGGGATCAAGCTGATCCAAGAGTCTCTCAGTCTCTTGAGCCTTCTGTGACTGTCGTTGTTTTCCCAGGTCATATGCCCTTGCGAAACCCAATTCCAAATCAATTATGAACTGAATATCATCAATATCTTGACTTGGCGGAACAGCAATTACTGCAAAACAACATAAGCTCATTATACAATGAACTATTCTTGCACAAAAACTTTTTATATTTTATGTTGATATATTTTGAGTGCAAAATCAAAATGTGGTAATTCCTGCAATTGCACATCGTATTTGCTTTATTTTGAGTGTATATATATGGTCAATATAGGTAATTTCTATTGTCTAGTACATGAATATATATGAGTTTTGTATTAGCAATGTGTTTCAAATAGAGCTTAAAACATAACATATACAGCACTCATGAACACATATATAATTAGAAATTAATAGCTATAGGCACAGAGAAAATAATATAAATATACATTCCCTCTGGATAGAAAGAGAAGCTTGGGTCTGTGATACATGTACGTCATAATGTTTTGTCTGTTATTACTGCAAAAACCACGAAACAATTGTTTCAGCCGTGGACTGCACTCACTGCACAACTATAAGGCCTGATGATCACTAGCTGTCATCAAACTTTTCAAACAAAAAGTTGATACGCCAAAAAAAAGCATACTGCGCCCTCCTACATTAGTAAAATGCAGTTAGAGCAACTCAACAGCTGAAAAAACAATTCAGTAGTTTCTGCAGTTTATATGTTTTCAACCAGCATGAGTTTGTTTGTCTATAATTCATGAAATTTTCAGGTTACCCTGGTCACTAGGATAAACCCATTCAATTTTGGTGGAGATGTGGGTTTGGTGTGTTACGACATGAAGTACTGTGATCTCCATGTAACTTTCAACTTACCTGTCTTAAGCCAGCACTCCTGAGTTGTTAACCCCTTGTCTAAAGTCCAATACACAATCCCAGGTGTTGTTGTTGGCTTCTGGGTAGTGGCCCCTGATAACAAACCATTACTTGGTGAAGGTGAAGGAGATATTGTTGGCTCAGTACTACTTCTGCCCAAAGGCAGAGAAGTAGCAAATATATCTGTTGTTTTTGGTTCTGAAGTAACAGAAGATATGGTTTCTGCAACCAGGGATGTCAACTCTCTGGTAAAACGTGTGCTTACTGGCACCGAAGTTACCAATGTGTTGGTCACCCGTTCTGAACTACTTGTCAATTGTTGTGAGGACAGTGTTTCTACAGTAGTTTCTAACGGTGTTTCTAATGAAGAGGTGGATGGATTCAGACTATTTGTGCTGGAATTAGGACTTGAATAAGAAGGCACTAAAGTAGTTTCTACAGTGTTCATACTAGAATAAGGCACAGTGGTGGTTTCAGTGTTTAAGCTTGCAGAATAAGGCACAGTGGTGATATCTGTATCAGTTGGTAAAAGTCCACTAGTTGATAGATCTAGAGTATAGACAGAAACAGATGGAGTTGGTTGCAGTACAGATCCTGTGGTTTCCAATGACACCTGGGATGTTGGATAGCTTTTGTGTGATTGGCTAATTGCTGACAGGTGAATGGATGGTTCTATTTGACTAATTTCTGACTGAATTATATTTGAAGCATTGGATATGAGCATGGTGGCTAGCAACTGGCCATTTGATGATTCTGGACTGATATCACTAAAACCCGCCACCAAGCTATTGTCCCCTAAAGCATTTGACATTGAGGTAAAGATAGGTGCATCCGTGATAGCAGGAGTGTCTACTAAACTTGGTGTCATCAATGTTGCTGGTATCAGCTCAATGGTTTCTGCTTGCATAGTGGTTGGCAGGGATGTGGGTTGAATTTGAGATCTAGTGTGTAGCTCATTCACTAGAGAAGGTAATGAAGAGGACAGCAAAAGATCATCAGGAAAATAAGCAGAGAATGCTAGAACGGTCTGTGAGGGCATCGGAACTAAGAGACCGCTGGAAAAAACTTCAGAACTACTAGTTGTGATAGTTGCAGTGTCCAAAACAGAGGACGTTTGTGTATTATTATGACCAACAGCTGACGACAGTGATACATCCAAGGCAGTTTGCAAATTGTTTTCATCGCTACTAAAAATTGAAAATGTCTGGAGACTGTATGATGTTGGTGAAATTATTTGTGAAGGTGTTAAGAGTAGGATAGAAGGATTTACTGTAAACAGTACAGATGCGAATTCAACATTGGTTGCTGAAAGCATGTAAATGTCACTCGGTTGAAAGCCAATGGTTGAAACAAGTTCAAACTGTACTGATGTAAATGTAGCAGGGGATGTTATTGTATAGTCAGTAGAGACAAGATGACTATGTTGTGTTGTGTTTAAATTCTGCAGTGAATTATAAACTTGTTGGCTGCTGGACACATGATGAAAACTACCAGTAACACCAGGTGAGGATGAGGATGATATATCACTATGATGATTTGAAGCAGACATAGTCAGCATATCGGTTAATGTAGTTACAATTGTTTCCATAATATCTATTACAGTTACTACAGTTTCTGGGGAAGGAGTTGCCAGCAGTGGTGCGTTATGCCAATATGAATTATCTATGGCAGATGTGTTGCTAGGTGATACATACACAGTGCTAGTCTGAATAACAGTGATGGGTGCATCATCCAAACTGATTACATCGGTGAAACCAGGAGTTTTGTCCATGGCCACGGTGTTCAATTCTTGGTGAACATTTGTTAGTATTGATGGTTCTACATCTATTGTATGTAATAGTGGTGGTGAAGTTGCAGAGCCTGTTTTCACATCAGTGGCTGGTGTGTTATGCCAGGAAAAATTATCTACGACAGACGTGTTGCTAGGTGATACATATACAGTGCTGGTCTGAATAACAGTGATGGGTGCATCATCCAAACTGATTACATCGGTGAAACCAGGAGTTTTGTCCATGGCCACGGTGTTCAATTCTTGGTGAACATTTGTTTGTATTGATGGTTCTACATCTATTGTATGTAATGGTGGTGGTGAAGTTTCAGAGCCAGTTGGCTCCAGTAGTAAGGCACTATTGGTGAATGCGGTATTTACACTTACCTCTGTGAATAATAAAGCAATGAGATGTATAAGTGTTTAGTGAATGAAAGCAGCATGGATTTTACATACGATATCACACAATTCTTACATATACATGTATGTACATAAAATATAATAATCTGTAAACCAAAGGTGTGTTGTACTTGTGTAGTAATCCCAGTATATGTACTGTGCACAAAAACAAACGAATTGTACAGAAACTTTGTTCTCAAGTCCTTCCCAAAGAAAGAAGCACAACATAATAATAATTACAAAATGAATGAAAACAAACAGTTTATCCAAATTGTTCTTGATTTTGTCTAAATTGCTGTATATATGCTTGTACATGTAGTTGATATGACCTCAATTATTTTTATTTTTACTTGGAATTTGAGAACGAAAATGAAAGACTTTTAATGCACACCTTTCTTTTGTGTCCATACTTTGTGTATCAGTAATAACAAAGACACTAAAATAAAAATGTTGCCATTTATGTAAAATCTGTCAATCAAGAATTAACAGATCACAATGGCATTCAATTTAGTTTCACTGTATATGGAGTCTGTCATTTACAATGGTGAATTGAAAGTTTTAATGCAAACTACACAGAACAATACAACATATCATTGCATGTGTTTTCATGCTGCTAGAATTTCAAACAGCTGTTTTCAGTGAATACATAGCACATCTATTCCATGCCACTTTCATGATGGCATGAGGTTTGTCTATCAATATTAATTGTCATTTACAAATTATGTATACATGTTATAGATGCGAAGAGATGTAATCAAGATGAGAGAATGGTTTTAATCACAAGTGACACAGCAACACTGATTGTACAACTTACATATCTAATTCAAACACAGTAAATTAGATTTGAAGGTGTATGCACTGAATATCAATAACAAAAGCCCATAAAATTTTAGTAAAATCACTCGTGTATTTTCACCATGTAAAGATTACAGGTCCTTACACAGAGCAATTATATTGATTGACAGGGAGATCCTCTGAATCTTGTGCCTGTAAAACTGATTTGTTTACTATAACACAGTCACCATTTTCTGGATCACTGGTCAGATGACAAAACATTAAACTTTGACACATGGCAAAAAGGGTCTGGTTAAAATGAAATAGTATATTAATGTGTATGGGAAACCTTAGTTGGCTCAGGAGTGTTAATTTTGACAATTCTTAAAATAGTTAATATTAAGTACATGTATACCATTATTAGAAAAATGAGAGTTTTAGCAAATTTTTTAGTCTAACAATCATCATTAAATGCTTGTAGTTGAAATATGATAAACATTATATATTGTTTATGAAAAATGTATCATTCAAGAATGACGTCAGTTTGACACGTTGGATTTACTGTTTGAATAGAGATGGAAATGTTTCAGTTGTTCAGACATGAATCATTTGTGACATAGTACATGTTTCACTTTCGCAATATTTGTTAAGGAAGATCTAATATAAATGAAAGATTTGAGACTGTCCCAGTAAGCATGTATCAATTGGGAATGTCAGAGATGTAATTCAAGATTTAGAAATAAATAATGCTGTTAAAATTATGGTATCCTAATTAATTTACATTTCCTGTCCTCTTAATAGTAGAAAAT